TCCATAATTCGCTGTATCATTTTCTGACTCACCAGATATTGCGCCAATAAACACGGCTTTATATAAATCATAATTGCAATTAAATTTTATAAGAACTAAGAACTTTTTCACGCCGCAAAGAAACGACTAAACATTATTTGAAGAATTTCAGACGATTAAAGCGACTTGCGGTGGAACCACTGCAGTAATCGCTACGAATTGTCGTGATCCGTGTAGCGGTTTGTCAAAAATTGGAAATTTGCAAGCATAGTAAATATTATAAGTCAGGGATGTTCTGCATACGCAAACTGCTCATGATTTTAATCGTAACAGACGCTGGTTCTGTTTGTATTCTGGTTGTTGATGACTAGAGTTGCTCAGAATTGTGTGCTGTTCCGTTATCACACTATAATGTGTATTCTCCTGAGAATCGTTACAATAGAGCCACCAGGTTTTCGTTTGTCGTAGTATAACCTTAAAATGTAGGCCTATTCGCTACCTGATTGGTTCCAAAGCAGAGTTGATGAGTGTTTAATTCTGCGCAGCTAATTTTGCACTTCATGGAGTCTAGAAAAGTTCCAGTTTTGGTATTAGCCATGAGCTGTGCACTGAGAAGTTTCCTATCGTAATGTTCCATTTTAATCATTTTTCTTGTTTGGAATCGCTGTAATTTTTATTTTGCTTGATAAGTGTAGATTCTCTGATAATAACTGGGGTTACATACTGCGCCGATTATTACATTGGAGAATCATTCTCTCAGATAGGTCAAGACGAACTGCAGCCACGACGGGATGCCCTCCGGGCATTTTGGCCGTACACCTAATCTATTCTGAAATAACCAGATCATATTATTCTTTCCCTATAAGTCACCGACTTATCACCCGTTTATCGGCTGAAGCAGCATGTTGTTCATTCCATGCTCAAGGGAATTCGCGGTGAAGGCAAAGGCTGTTCATAGTGTAAAATTGAGAAAGGGAAGGGAACTTTGCAACTGCTGGAATATCGGACTTTCTTGATTTACTTCGTCATTCTTGCCCCCTTCCTTGAATGGGATTAGTTAGACAGCCGTCGGTCCTTGATAGGTGATGATACGCAATCTGTTGTTACCAGAAATTTGAACACTCTTAATGCACCGATGGTATGCCTCCATCATGCGTGACTGAAGAAAGATGAAATCACAAAAACATGTTCACTATGTTGCAAAGCAGCTTATTATTTTGACTGAAGCCCGAAGAAGGAGTATGTGGTTGCGGAGTCTCGGTGCGCTCCGACGGGGAAGGACTTGTAGACTAATTTACACTAATTAAGTACAGATTGTGCCTGGTAAATGTCTCGAAAATGTTCAGAACATCCTGATTGTATCCATCACGCACTTACGAACAATTGAACAATGAAAGAACGCTTTTTACGATACGCTTGAACAATTAATTGATGTTATGCCATCGAATAACGTTATAATCCTTGAAATAAATGCAAATGCTTAACTTGACAGCGATGAGCGTCGCGCTGGGAAAATGACTCCTACCAGCAGAAACGACCACAGAAATTAGATCGAAGCTCCTTAGTCTCACTGAGAGATTCTTTTTGGCAATACCACGACCCTGATGCTAGATTGACAATCAGCAAGACCAACCTGGCAAGGTCCGTCAAGCTTGTTTGCCGAGCAGAGGAAAGAATATGGATATAAGAAGTTACAGCTGCAGCTGCTTTACAGTATACTCAAAAGTGACTGTTGGAAGCTCATCGTCAGATTGTCTAAAAGTATCTGAAGTTGATCCTGTCTTTCCATCCATGTCCCATTGGTTTTAACGATGGTACCGTATGTTACTGCCAAAAGGTTCGAGGCGATGTCAAGACTAAATATGACATCGTTGCGGTAAAATCCAGATGTCAGGAAAAAATTCTCACTGACATGAAATGAGGTACTGGAAAGACATCTGCATTCGACCTACAGTGATTTCATCAACTGAATACCCATGGCCGCCAGTGAAAGTATTTCAGTACTCTAGAAAGTATATCTGTCAACCTGTGGGAATATGATCTGAGAAGCTGACGAATAAACGGATAAGATCCAGACTCTCTGGAAACCGAACTGAAATGCCGTCTGACTGAAGAAAGGAACGCACTGTGACTGAAACGAGCTACTGTTATGGAAAAAGCGTTCAAATACAACAGCCTTAGACAAGCGTTTGCTTTAATCCAGCAATACAGCGGTAGAAGTAACAGCATATACCCTTTCGTTAGTTCGAAGGATGGATCGTCTATGCAGATGGAACTTAAATATGCTAAAG